TCATGGTGATCCTGCCGCAGCATTGCTTGAGGTATTGGATCCTGAGCAGAATCATACCTTCAATGTCAGTGCCCCTTTTCCTGCCATACAGTGATTCATCTTGATGTTGTGTTCCTAGGATCACTATATCAACGTCCCCATTGATTTGAGTCAAGTTCTGTTCATATGTACGGCCAACACGCTCGAGAGCATCTCAACCCCTCTCTTGGATCGATGTGAAATCATCCAACTCAGTGGTATGTTTACCTTTCCTTCATTCTGTCCGTTTGTTGGCTCATTCACCGACAAAGGTTACACATACGACGAGAAGATGCACATTGCTCGTCGATTCTTGCTCCCTAAACAGCTACAAGCGAACGGTCTTGACGCGTCACAGATCAATATCACTGAGCCAGCTCTGCTTCACATCACCACGAGGTATACACGCGAAGCCGGTGTGCGAAGTCTCGAGCGCGCCATTGGTGGTGTGGTACGATACAAGGCTGTTGAATGGGCCGAGTCCCTCGATGGCACAGCTCAAACTCAACAGCAGGAGGGGACAAGCTCACGCACGTCAGTTTCGCAGCTGAAGGAGTATAAATCTCTTGTCGAAGAGCATGATTTGGAGAAGATTCTTGGCATTGCGAGATGGGATGGGGAAGAGAGGGAGAGGGAGGAGAGGAGGGGTGTTGTTTATGGACTTGTGGTCATGGGACAGGGCGAAGGTGGGATTTTACCTGTGGAAACGATTGCTGTTCCTGGTTCTGGAAAGTTGAAACTCACTGGGAGTTTGGGTGATGTGAGCTTGCTAAGTTTCGTTGTCCTTACTTGTGGGTTGGCAACTCATTGTCTTTCGTTTTTTTATAGGTCATCAAAGAAAGTGGGGAACTGGCGTTGAGTTGGGTGAAGAGGCACGCCTATGACTTGTGCATCACCAATTCGCGGACGGAAGACCCTTTGAAGTTCCCTGATCCCATTGATATACATTTACACCTTCCTGCGGGTGCGCAGAAGAAGGATGGACCGAGTGCCGGCGTTGCCATGGTATGTTGAATTTGTCGCAAACCCTTTTGTTCAGTGGCTGATTTTATATGTCAAAGACGTGTGCATTTGTGTCGTTGTTGACTGGCACATGCGTTCCGGCCAACATCGCAATGACTGGCGAGGTACGTTTCCAATCTCTCTCTGTGGACCAGAAATAAACAACTTACGATACTTAGATCACATTGCGTGGCCGAGTCACCCCCGTAGGCGGGATCAAAGAGAAAGTTCTTGGTGCCCACCGAGCGCAGGTGACGAAAGTCATCCTACCTTGGGCGAACCGCAAGGACGTGGAACACGACGTTTCGCCTGAGATTCGAAATGAGATGGAGTTTGTCTTTGTGCGCACTGTTCGGGAGGCGCTGGAGGCTGCGTTTGGTCGGGGCACGCTTGGGTGGAGGGGGGAGTCGCTGCTTTTGGAGAGTAGGCTTTAGTGACGCTCCTCTCCTGGGCTTAGGACTGAATGAAGGCAGACTGCAGATTACGTGTATACCTCAACTTGATAAAATTGTACATACCTTAATGTAAATGACCAGTGCTTGGATGATCGATGAACGACATAGGACATATTTGAGGCGCATTACAGAACCATCAACATTTGCCATAAATTCTACTGCTACAAGAATGATTTTGACAATCTAATAAATTTAAGTGCCTCCCAAACTCCCAGGCGAAGAAAGAAAAACTCTAAGTAAAACATGAGACTACGTACACAAACGTGTGTACCCCGATGCAAGTAGCGTACAGGAACGATAAGAAAGGATGACACAAGTCAAGGTGATGATGATGGGTTTTGGTTCTATGCAAGGTCGTTTAATGGGTATCGAAAGTGAGGTCCGCGAGGTCCGTGGGGGATATTGAAAGTGAGGTCCATGGGGATATCTAAACTGATTAATAAACTTGCAATCATGGCAGGGTTTGCCAGGTGGGAGGGGGGCGAGCAGGAGGAAAGCTGCTGACAGGCCAAGGAACAGGCGGAAGAAAACCCTGAGTGAGCTGAGTGAGATGAGGATGGAGTTTATTTTGACCATGTCTCACTNCAATCTCAGAGCTTAGCTCAACAGCTCAACAGCCGCGTCTTCCCGCCAGAGGGCCAATCTTGCTGCGCGTTCTTTCTGAATCCATCTTTTCTCTTCTGCTGCGCTTGGATAATTGCTTCAGTTCGTCTTCCCACATCGGATGAGAGGCTGCCAGGAGGCGAAGGTCGTCAAGCATGGTGGCGTCTCCATCCTCTGCATCCTCGTCAACATCTTCAAATACCTCAGCTAGCCCCTCCTCAGCTGATTTCCCCCCGTCCCCATCTCCATCGCCGATAATGGTTGGTGAGCTGGTTACTGACAATCCTCCAGACGTCGCCTGCCCTCCCCCATGTCCAATTTGGTCATGTGGTGGACCTTCTCCACTCCCACCATTGGGAGGGGGATGATGGGATTGAACAGCCAGAGTTTCAGGGTCTGCGGTCGAGAGGTATGCTCGGTAACGCTTGACGCGGGCTTGCAAGTTTAAAGGCATTGAGAGCGGAGGTTCGAAACGTTTAAACTAAATTCAATATTAATCAAAAAGAAACTGCCAAATGTCAATGAAAGACTTACGGATCTGTGAGGAGGCATAGTGAATTGCCTGGGGAAGATATGTAAAAACGAGTCATTAAGAGTTGTCCAGTTCCCAAAGGTGAGAGGTTGTCCGAAAGTATGGGGTGTTGGGTGTCTAGATGAAAAGGACGGGAGTGGGAGAAGTGATGCCTTTGAGATTGGATTACGCATATTGTTGTAGGCTACGACAGCTCCGCCAGAACGAGAGAAAGAGAGAACAGGGTAGACATCCAGAATGAAAGATTCGTCGTGGACCCTAATATCACATATAAAGGCCAGACGTTGAGGGCCTCCTCCTCGGGACACGGGTGGAAGATTCGATCCAACAATGGTAGCATCGGCTTCAACAAAGTTCTCCACCTCGATTGGTTCAGGAATCCGCACAAGGATGCACTCGCCAATGGCAAAAGGGGGAGCTCCAGATTCCTGCGTTACACGGGGTCCTAATTGGGGCACTGATTGCGTAGACGGGCCCGGGGCGTTGCTCGCCATCAGGGTTGAAAGAAAGAGAAACCTTACGTTGGGGAGTGGTTTTAGGTGGAACGGGTGGGAAAAAAATCTGAGACATCATATGTAATCTGATAATCACATGTCACGTCAGCCATGTTCAGCTCTATTAGTATCATTCTCTCGATTTGCCATTCCGGTGTTAAAGGAGGCTTGACTGTCTGAGGTCTCTCATCGACGAGTCTGATGCCTTGCCTGTCATTGCCGCAATCCCAATAACCAACCACAGAGAGAACTACACGCTTTGCAACGGTCAAACGTTGCCAACGGTATTGCTCCTCACTCCCCTCTGTCTGGTGATGGCTCGAGCACAGAATCCAGTGAGCTAGACGACGATGAACAACATGAAGCAGATGATATGGCGGATTTGAAACGAAGGATCGAAGCTATGGAACCTGGTTCCGAAGAGCGCAAAATGGGCGTCAGAGAGTGGCGGAGACTGAAGCGAATTCCTCAAGGAAGTGTAGAAAACGGAGTGATCAGGTCATATGTATGTTCTGATAAATTTCTTTCGTTTCTTTCGCCATTAACGTGTGTTTGTAGCTTGAATGGCTTACCTCTATTCCCTGGCCTAATTCCACGCATATCTCTCCGGCACCGGACTCAAGCCAGCTTCAGTTGAAAACAAGGCCTTTCCTTGCCGCTGCTCGTGCTCAGCTCGATGCGGACCATTTTGGTTTGGAGAAAATTAAGAAGCGTTTGATTGAATACTTGGCGGTAGTGAGGTTGAAAGAGTTGAATGCGGAAAGGGAGGCAAAGGAACTTGCAGTCAAGGAGGCTTCTCAAGAGAGTCGGAGCGCAAAGGCGGCGCAGGAGGCTCGAAATATTGAGGGTGCGAACGCCCAAGAGACGAAGGACGGCAAGGAGCTTGTGGCCTATGACAAAAATCAACAACCACAGCCTCGGGTGCAACCTTCACTTGGAAAGCCTAGCCGGAATGGCAAGAAAGGCGTCAAGGGGCCCATTTTCCTGTAAGTGGCATGGGTTCTCCTCACAAGGTTCGTCGGGCCTCCTGGTACGGGCAAAACATCTCTTGGACAATCTGTCGCGAAAGCTTTAGATCGACCATTCCAGCGGATTTCGCTGGGTGGCGTACGAGACGAGGCGGAAATCAGAGGACATCGACGGACGTATGTAGCCAGCGAGAAGATCCACATTGCTCGTCGGTTCTTGCTTCCTAAACAGCTACAAGCGAACGGTCTTGACGCGTCACAAATCAATATCACCGAGCCAGCTCTGCTTCACATCACCACGAGGTATACACGCGAAGCCGGTGTACGAAGTCTCGAGCGCGCCATTGGTGGCGTGGTACGATACAAGGCTGTTGATTGGGCCCTTGACGGCACAACTCAAACCCAACAGCAGGAGGGGACAAGCTCAGGCACGTCGGTATCGCAGCTGAAGGAGTCTAAATCCCTTGTCGAGGAGCACGAGTTGGAGAAGATTCTTGGCATTGCAAGGTGGGATGGAGAAGAGAGGGAGAGGGAGGAGAGGAGGGGTGTTGTCTATGGACTTGTGGTCATGGGTCAGAGTGAAGGTGGAATCTTACCTGTGGAAACGATCGCTGTTCCTGGTTCTGGAAAGTTGAAACTTACTGGGAGTTTGGGTGATGTGAGCTTGCTAGTTTCGTTGTCCTTGCTTGTGGGTTGGCAACTCATTGTCCTTCGTTTTTCCAAGGTCATCAAAGAAAGTGGGGAACTGGCGTTGAGTTGGGTGAAGAGGCACGCGTATGACTTGTGTATCACCAATTCGCGGACGGAAGAACCTTTGAAGTTCCCTGATCCCATTGATATACATTTACACCTTCCTGCGGGTGCGCAGAAGAAGGATGGACCGAGTGCTGGCGTTGCTATGGTATGTTATGGCAAACTCGGTTGTTTCAGTGGCTGATTCTGTATGTCACAGACGTGTGCATTTGTGTCGTTGACTGGCACATGTGTTCCAGCCAACATCGCAATGACTGGCGAGGTACGTTTCCAATCTCTCCCTGTGGGTCAGAAACAAACAACTTACTCGCGATACCCTCAGATCACATTGCGTGATGCCCACCGAGCGCAGGTGACCAAAGTCATCCTACCTTGGGCGAACCGCAAGGACGTGGAACATGACGTTTTGCCTGAGATTCCAAATGAGATGGAGTTCGTCTTTGTGCGTACTGTTCGGGAGGCACTAGAGGCTGCGTTTGGTCGGGGCACGCTTGGGGGGAGTCGCTGCTTTTGGAGAGTAGGCTTTAGTGGCGCTCCTCTACTGGGGTTAGCAGACTGCAAATTACTGTCTGATGAAATTGTACATACCTTAATGTAAATGACCAGCGGGATGATCGACATGGGACATATTTGAGGTGCATTACAGGACCATCAACATTTGCCAAAATTTTACTGCTACGAGTATGATTTTGATGATCTAATGAATTAAAGTGCCTCCCAAACTCCCTGGCGAAGAAAAAAAAACTGTAATTAAAACATGAGACTCACGTACACAAACGTGTGTACCCCCATACGTGCAAGTAGCGTGCAGGAACGATAAGAAAAGACGAACAAGGATGACACAATTCAAGGTGATGATGATGGGTTGGTTCTATGCAAGGTTGTTTAATGGGTATTGAAACTGAAGTGATATCAAAACTGAGCACTGGAGGACCAAAGGGATATCCATACTGATTGATTAACTTGAAATCAGGGGAAGTTCGCCAGATGGGACGGGGGCAAAGCATGAGGGGGAGGAAAGCTGCTGAGAGGTGGAGAAACACGATGAGTGAGAAGAGGATGGAGTTTATTCTGACCATGACTCACTTGATCTCAAGAGCTTAGCTCGACAGCCACATCTTCCCGCCAAAGGGCCAATCTTGCTGCACGCTGATTCTGAATCCATTCTCTCTCCTTCTGCTCTGCTTGGAGGTATCTTTGCAGTTCTTCTTCCCACATTGGATGAGAGGCTGCCAGGAGGCGAAGGTCGTCTAGTAAGGTGGCGTCTCCATCCTCTGCATCCTCATCAACATCTTCAAGCACGTCAGCTAGCCCCTCCTCAGTTAATTTCCCCCCTTCCCCATTTCCATCACCGATAACGGTTGGCAAGCTGGTCGCCTGCCCTCCCCCATGTCCAGTTTGGTCATGTGGCAAATCTTCTCCACTCTCACCATTGAGAAAGGGATGATGGGATTGAACATCGAGATCTTCAGGGTTTGCGGTCGAGAGGAATGCTCGGTAACGATGGAGGCGGAGCTGCAAGCGTGCATGCATCATGAGGGGAGGTTCAAAGCGTTTGAACTGAATTTCAATAGTAATCAAAAAGAAATTGCCAATTGTCAATGAAAGACTTACTGATCTGCTCATGGGCATAGTAAACCGCCTAGGGAGGACATGCAAAAAGGAGTCGTTAACAGTTATCCAATTTCCCAAAGTGAGAGGTTGTCCAAAACCATGGGGTGTGGGGTGTCGAGATGAAAAAAGCGAGAGCGGGATAAGTGCTGCTTTTGAGATGGGATTACGCATGTTATTGTACGTGGCAACAGCTCCGTCGGTATGAGAGAAAGCGAGAACGGGGTAGACATCAAGAATGAAAGAGTCATTCAGCGGGTGGACCGTAATATTGCAAATAAATGCCAGATGCTGAGAGCCTGTTCCTTCGGAAATGGGTGGGAGGTTCGTTCCAACGGCGGTCACTTCATCTTCAACATATTCTTCTACTTGTATTCCTCCAGGAATCCTGATGAGAATGCACTCGCCAATGGTAAAGGATGAAACTCCGTCATCCAGCGATACACGAGGTCCTAGACTGTGTGCTGATTGCATAGATGGGCCTAAGGCGTTGCTCGCCATCAAGGTTGAAAGAAAGCTAGGTTGGGGGGTTTCATAATCATCTGAATCATCACATGTGGATTGCTCTCCTCTATCTCCTTTCTAACCTCGTCGCCGTTGCAGCACCTTCATCGTCGTCGTCGGCGATGTCCAGCTCTAATCTTCAAAATATTGCGTTATACCACCCCCTCATCCTCTTACCGGCCTCTCGATTTCAATTTGCCAATCTGGTGTCAAAGGAGATTGAAGAGGCTCATACAACATCAAGCCACTATATGTCTCGTTCCATTTTGTAACGTGGCTCCACTTTCTGGAGGCTACTCTTCAAGAATTGTGTATCGAAAATAGATGGAGAAGATTCTCCAGAAATTCGCACCTGTCCAAGGACCAACGACCAAAACATGGACCCCCAGAGTTTGGGAAGAATGATTCTGTAAACCAGCGGTTCCAGGTGTAAATAAAAAAATGATAAAGAACTTTACGCAGAATGCACTTACTGTCAACTTCCTGTGGTGATTGAATATTGAGGTCCAACTTGAAGTTCGAACACTTTACGTTTGGCTGCGGCTGATCCGCCAAACACGGTTTTGACTTGCCCGCAGATGGCAGATAGCAAGTTACAACACCAACTGCTTGGCCGGCGTAGCGATAAACCCGCGCTGCAGCGCAAACTAGCCAGCTATCAGATACTTGAAACTCGTCAGATTGGAATCGTTTGTCATCCTACCGACAACCGTCACCTTTGAATCT